AGGGGCGGTAGAGGTGGTGGTGGTGGTAGAGGGGGTAGAGGGTAAGGGGTGGAAGGGGTGGTAAAGGGGGGGTAGGGAGTGGTTGGGGGGGAGGGTGGAAGTGGTAGAGGGGGCTGCGCAAGCAGAAAAGCGAGCGTAAGCGAGCATTTGATGCTTGTTCTGTAAGAAAAGAAAAATGAAAGGTTCCATCCAAGGTTGTTGATAATTAATCACGTGAGATAACTGTAGCAATTTACTGTGGCATTAAGTTATTCCGGTTCCAGCCACTGCGGCGCGCCGGACATACCAAAGACGTCTTTAGAGAGAACAAATTGAAGCTTCGGACATTATCTCCACCCAGCAAGCCTTAGCCAACAAGCTTCCCCCGACATTTATTCGGGCAGAGACATTGCCCACCATGGCGACCACTGCGGAGGCAAAGCTAATACGGCAGACCAAATTCCCGCCAGAGTTTGCCAAAAAGGTGGACATGCAAAAGGTTAATATAGAGGTGATGAAGAAGTGAGTTGGCTCAGTGAAACTTACATGTTGCGCGCGATCGCGATGTTGTGATTACTGACATTTATTTCAACCCTTTCTTATCATAGATGGATTGCTGGCAAAATTTCCGGAATCCTAGGAAATGAGGATGATGTCGTTATCGAACTCTGTTTCAATTTGCTCGAGGGGGCTCGGTTTGTAAGTCTGCGCCCTGTTTCTGTTGATACCACGGGTGAGCGTTCAGTATAGATGCTAACAGTGCACCCATGTTCGTTGGTAGCCGGATATCAAACTCCTACAGATTCAACTCACTGGCTTTTTAGACAAGGATACGCCCAAGTTTTGTAAGGAACTCTGGAATTTATGCCTCAGCGCCCAAACCAACCCACAAGGCGTACCGAAGGAGTTACTGGAGGCTAAGAAACTGGAACTGAGACAAGAAAAAGTGGTTTCTCCAAAAACAACAATTCTGGAATAGGTTCTCTATGCTAACTTTTGCACAGCTCGAATCTGAAAGACTAGCTGAAGAAGCTAGACGGCGTAGGGAAGAAGAGAGGGCGCGCGAACGTGAGCTAGAAGCTTTGCGGGAGCGCGAACGTGCCGAACGCGGTCGCGGCAGAGGCAGGAATCGGTGGGCTGATAGAGATGCTCGCTCACCACCACGGCGGAGAAGTTTGGAGAGATACCGAGACGGCTTTGGTAGGCGCAAGGCAGATACCTGGGCTCCTTCTGGGGGTAGAAGTTCACGCTGGACAGAAGATCGTGGCCGTCGTGCGTCTAGGTCAATATCCCGATCTGTATCGCGATCGACCTCACGCTCATCGCTCTCTCCGTCTCCCCATCGAAGGGACCGTGGCCGTCACGGACCCACCAGGCGTCGACGATCGCCAAGTTACTCTCGTTCACCAGACACGAGGGGCCGCAAAAGGAGAAGATGGCGTAGCCCCGACCATGATGATATTCGTGCAAGGTCTAGTTCTGTCAGTAGATCAGATCGCTCACGTTCTCCCAGAAGACGCCGGAGAAAATCGCCCACCCCTTCCTCTAGGAGCCCCTCCCGCTCTATTTCACCAAGAATTAGCCGTCACCGCCGCGACTCCCCGTCAATATCTCGCTCCCCGTCCTCGTCGCGCCACAGGTCGCGCTCACGATCGCCGTCCCGAGTGAATGGTGACAAGCGTGCAAGGGGAGGCCGAGGGAGAAGATCACCATCACCCGGTGCGAAAGATTATAGAGCAGATTCACGAGCTGATATTACCAAGGACCATCCCAAATCCCACGATGCTCGCCGTCGTCTAAGCCGAAGCCGAAGCCGCAGTCGCAGTCACAGCCGAACCAGAGAACGACCTAGTTACCGCAGACGCAGAAGTCCAAGCAGAAGCAGGTCCCGATCTCGCTCCCGCAGCCCCTTCCATGACCATGATCGTGACCGTGATCGTGACCGTAGCCGCTCTAACAGCCGCAGTGCACGTCGGGATAGAAATGACAGGAAAAGACATCAATCAATTGAGAGATACGCCCCAGCACCCAGAAGACGCCACAAGGGCGCTTCAGCATCCCCTCCTCCAGCTCCAGAGAAAGAGCAGACGGTCGTAGCTAATTCACAAGAAGACAAGGAAACGAAAGGCTCGCACTCACCGCCTCCTCCTATCCCGTGTAGAGCCAAAAGTTCGGAGCCGGAACCTGAACTTAAAGGCTCCCAAGAAAAAAAGGAAGTGGAAGACAAGGAAAAGGAGGACAAGAAAGCCGCAAGCCCTGAAGAGGTGGGTAGCTGAAATCATTCCGTTTCTAATAATGAAAACAAGGAGAGAAATTAAATAATGAGTAAATGATGTTTGTGCTGGAATTCTTCTTTATAACCTCCTGATAATCACACCTTTACCTAGTGAATAATAAATTCAATTTTGCTAACGTATTTGTTCTTTTCTTCTATTTTGTTGCTCCGATCTCAGAAACGAACTCAGTCTTCCAAAGCCCGTTTAACAGGTACTGAGCTTCGTGAAAGACTTGCGCGAGAGAAGGTCAAGGCGCTACGCAGAGAAAATGCGAAGGGAAAAGGGACTTCCCACCCGGGGTAAGTATAAACTGTTAAGACGCGAGACTAAAAGAAGCCGTCGTGGGAAACGTAGATTCCATTTTTCCCTGAATGTTGTTGTGGTGGCGATGGGCTTATAGCGCCGTCGAGCTCCAACTGCTACCTAAATGAGCAGTGATATTGAGCTTTTCTCTTTTCTTGATGTAAAGCGGTTCGGCTAGTGAATTTATTGCATCTATTTTACGAGTCCTACGGAGGGTACATAATGCATATTTTGTTGCGAGGTTTTCCTAATCGTTTCTCAGTCCACACGTTCTATTCCAGCTTCTCACTTGTTGACTTTCAGTGGGCTCTACGAGTGTGCATGCTATATATGTAAAGAGCGTAGCACATTGGGGGGGAGGCGGGGGTGTATATTTCATAATAATATACATAGCCTTTTTGTCTCCCTCTTAGGCTGGAATAAATATCTGTCAGCGCAAGGAGATCCAGGGACCGGACCCGACTATAGAAGCAATAATGCCAGCATATTTCTGTTCCAGCACTTCCAGACCTGATCAGAGTCTGGTCGCATACAAAAGTATACGGTTGTCATGGAAACATTATTGACATGTGCACGTGACAGCATCCTCACCATCCAGATCAACTCCGCTTGTCTGCAACTTACGACCCTCAACTGACATGAACATATTCGACAACGGGAATTGATGCGTCCAGTTACGCGTCCGGGGTTATTGATATGGCAACAACAACAACCTCAACATCCACGACACCCCTGCCAATTCCTCTTACGTACAGCAACAGCTTTCAACGGCCACGGTCGTCGCTTTCGTCGCGACACCAACTTCCTCGAACAACAATTTCTCGATCCATTTCCACCCGTGTATTACCCAATTCAGGCTCATCCGGATCCCACAACCCACCTTTTCAAATGTCGAGACCCCGTTCCTTTTCCATCGGAGACAGCTCCGACGACGACTTTCCCGAGCCCATCAAATTCAGCGCATCCGTCAAGGCGTTATTAGGAGAGGCGGATGGTTCGAATATTGATACCTCCCCGTACCGTGGAAGTAATGCGAGCCATGTCCAAAACGAGCCCATAAACATAAATGGTGAACTACGCTCTCTACAATCGCGAAAACTACAAGAGAAACAGGTCCGGATTGCGTCGCCAAGGGAGCGGGCTACAGGGAGCCCGGTCCCAAGAGTCGTGAGAGTCAGTTCGCCCCGCCTTTCTCCAAGCAGTTTAGGCAGAGAAAGCCCCCGGTCAGAAAGAAAGGATGAAAGCATATTAGATGGATCTGATCAGCGCTATCCTCATGGTGGGGATTTTATTACACCTGCAGCCCCAAGGACCAGAGTAGTGCGAGTTACGGCGTCCAGGAGCAATTCTGACTCTCAATCAACCGTGTCACCCAGTGGAACTAGGTCGAGCGAGAGATCATCCAGAGAAGGAGGAAGTCGTCTTGGGGACCGTTCCTCTCCCGGCGATGAGCGACGACGAGAAGAGAATGTATACCGATCTGGTTCTTCACTTAGTGTGCTACGACCGCGCCCTGGTGAGGATACGGGAATGCAAAACTCGTTACGAGTGAAGAGGGTTGGCAAATTAACGGGCTCGTTTCTTAACGGACCAGCGCGTCGTGGTGTTATTAGAAGGCAAAGTGAAGATGTGGAAGAAGAGCCGGCAAATGATTGGCCAAGTTCAAACGGCAGCCCTCATACGAGCAAAGAGGAGCCGCATCAACAGGAATCTGAACCCCTCCGTGCTCGCGACCAGGATCTCGAAAAACCTCAACCGTACCTGAGGCACTCCGAAAGTCGTACTGGACCCCCCGTGCCATTACAGATTCCGATGAGACTCCCAGAGCCAGAAATACCCTCTGATAGAGGTCTCTTGAGATCCAATTCACCCCAAGTTCCTAGTTCAAAATCGAAATCTCCATTATCAGCGGAGGGAAAAGATTCGTCACGATCTACCAGAGACGCACCCGCATTTTACCACGTGCCTCCTTTCCTTTCGAGACCTACGGGCGGAGGTCAGGAGAATGATCCGCCACCAACATTCAGAAAACCGAAGTCCCAGGCCTTCAGCCTTTTAGATAAGGCGGAAAAGTTCTCTGTGGTTTATGACGATGGCAAGGAGCTAGCCAAACCCGCGCCGCCAACAATTTCACCTCGTAGACCTCTAGCTCCAAAAGATAATAACACTCCACACAGGCCAGCACCGCCCCCTCCTAAAATGAGCGTCTTGGAAACCGCGACTGCTCCTGCAGGAGCTAGTTCGTCGCAAGCCAGGAAGAAACGAGTACAGGTTACCATTAATCGTAAGCCTTTTACTCGATTAGATTGCATTGGGCGAGGCGGCAGTTCTAGAGTCTACCGCGTCATGGCTGAAAATTGCAAAATATTTGCGCTCAAGCGAGTCAATTTGGAGGATGTTGACCCGATTGCGCTTGCCGGGTATAAGGGAGAGATCGATTTACTCAAAAAGCTTGAGAATGTGGATCGTGTGGTACGATTGTTTGATTACGAAGTCAACGAGGAGAAGCATGCGCTTAGTGTTCTCATGGAGTTTGGCGAGTCGGACCTACAAAGGATCCTCACGCTACGACTGAATACAGAAGACGCTATTTTTGATTCTGCCTTTACACGATATTACTGGAAGGAAATGCTCGAGTGCGTCCAAGCCGTTCACGCCTTCGACGTCGTCCACTCAGATCTTAAACCTGCCAATTTTGTCCTGGTGAAAGGAAACCTAAAACTAATTGACTTTGGCATCGCAAACAAGATCCAGGATGACACCGTCAACGTCCATCGCGAGCAACAAATTGGCACACCAAACTACATGGCACCCGAAACTCTTATCGACATCAATGCCGCAAGCGGCCTCCCCTCGACGGTTGGCAAGATGATGAAAGTCGGTAAACCAAGCGACGTCTGGAGTTTAGGTTGCATCCTCTATAAAATGGTCTACGGCGACCCGCCCTTCGCGCATATCACCAAACCCTTCGAGCGCATCATGGCCATACCGAATCCGAAAGTGATCATTGACTTCCCAGCTTTCGGCATTGGTGGTGCGTCCGTACCACCGGGCCTCATCCGGACTATGAAGCGCTGCCTTCAGCGCGACCCACGTCTGCGACCCACGGTGCAAGAATTGCTGGGGCAGCGAGATCCGTTCCTATATCCAGAAGCGAACTTGGAGGGTTCGGTGCCAATGACTCAGGAGATGTTGGGGAGGATATTAACTAATGTCGTCAATCATTGTCGGGCAAGAGGACCGCCGAAGGATGAGGATCTCGCTGCGTGGCCGGCTGGGTTCTTTGCGAAGATTCAGTCGGCGCTCGAAGAAGATGCCCTTTGACCTATTGCGACTGTTCGCTGTCATTCATTATTTTGTATTTTTTTTCTCTTTCCTTTGGTTTCCTACCCTTGCCTTCTACGGCTTTCTATATTTTGGATAGGTGTCTTGGGATCATTTCATGGGGACTTTTCATTCTTGTGGTGAGTTTAGCTTTTGGCCGGGTGTTGCGGAGTATCTTTTCCCCCCATGGGCCAAAGGCTATTATTGGGTTTGTCTTGGCTATATTTCCTTTCCTTTTTATTATTTAATACCTTGCCTAGGGCATATTTTGATTGTTCGATTCCATTTGCTGCGTTCCAGCGTTGTCTTTTCTTCGGGAGAACTACCCACGTACTTCATACACTATTTCCACGCTTTATCTCTGTTTCTTGGAGTCTTGTTTGATCAACTCTTCCAGCGCCTCGACTACTTGTTGACATTACCATACAAGTCTATAACTTTCGATAGAGACCTTTTCATTATTTTATACATCATCGTGGATATGAACATTTACCCTTTACCATTCTGGAGTGTTGGAGTTTTCCTTTGGCTTTCCCATCGCAAGGCGGACAATCTGTTAACTGACTACGTCAGTGGGTGACCAGCTCAACTTGAATGTCGCATTGCTATATACTTCTGCATTTACAAGGATCTTCTGAACATACAAGAAAACATGACGTGTAATTGGAATATAATGGTACATGACAAAATTTTTATCCAAGGCATGGGAGAGAGAAGGATTGAACAGTTCCTAAATGTCGGGTAGCCGAACCACAAAATCCCACAGCACCGAACCTCTTGCATCCTGCGATAATATACACTCAGTAAGCAAACAGAAAAGAAGGATCTGTCCCCCACTCCGCCCAGCAAAATAACCCAAATATGCATGCAAGAAATCTGACGTTTTCACCCCTACTACGTCTGCTCTCCCTCCACCTCTTCACTCACAATCTCCGCCCCCTCCCTAACCAACTCATCCACCCCCTTAACCTTCACATCCACAACCCTCAGAATCGTATACCTATGCTTGCTCTTTACCCGCCTCACATGTCTCTGCCTCTGCTTGGTCTTCTCCTTAATCCGCAGCGGCTCCGACTCTGTGCCAATAACCCTCACCCGACACTCGAAGAGTCGCTCGTCAACGTACGGCGCCCCCTTGAGCGTGAAGTCGCGCGAACCGATCACGGACGCCCGGTTGAAGCGGAGGATGTCGCCGGCTTGCACGTTGGGCATGAGGAAGGGGAGGCGCAGTGTGTCCCCCTCTGTCAGGAGATAGGGGCGCGCGTGGAGGTGCGCGGTGATGTAGTGGGGCGTTTGTGTTGTGAGATGTGGGAGAAGAGAGGTTAGGGATGGCGTGAGGGTTAGGGGCTTTGTGAAGGTGGGTTGAATCGGGAGTTTGTTTGGTGGGATGGTTGGCGTTGTCGATGCTGATGTTGATGCGGATGAGCTTTGTAGTGTGGACAATTCAGATTGTGATGGGACAGCTGTCTCGGGGGTTTGTGATGTAGTCTGTTCACTGGAACCCTTCGTGGGTGACTGTGGAGGGATTTCAGGGGCTGTTGCATGGAAGGGAGTTGCTGAGGCTTGATGCATGCATGCTGCTCGAGTCGACGGGATGATGGAGGGCATCCACCGGATGTCGAGGGCGGTGCGGAAGGTAGATCTCGCGAACATGGCTGCTGTGGTATTGTGCAGATGTCTCCTAATAATACGACGGGTGTAAGGCCTGATCATCCGTCAATTGCTACGGAGCGTCCGCCTCCTTCAAGATGGCGGTATATTGCTTGTCTACTCCAAATGAAGTTGGAGAAAATCAAAATCGGGATGTCGCAAATAGCCGCTGCGGTTACCGTACAAGTCACATGTATTTGTAGCTTATGTAATAATCATGTGATTTCGCTAGTTTTCGCGATAACCAACCTCAACTTTTTTCTGATGTGAAGATCCACGGAGAGAGTGTTGCTGTTGAGGTCTTTCAGATATATAAAGGCCTGCTCTTTCCGACTTCACGATGCCTCAGAACGAGTTCGTTTGCCCAATATTCGTTGCTCCTTTTTGACTTCGTGGCTGGGCCCGCTGACAAAATCTTCCAGATACATCGAGCGATGGCAGAAGCAGCACGGGAAGCGGTATGTGAATCATGAAACCAATACAGGCTACCCTGCAAATATGATACAACAAACTAACGTCCTCCTCTCTTCATAAAACAGCCTCGACCACGAGGAACGCACCCGAAAGCGCATAGCCCGTGAATCGCACAAGCAGTCTCACGATGCGCAGTCCTTCCGCGGCCTGCGGGCCAAGCTATACCAGAAGAAGCGCCATGCGGAGAAGATCGAGATGAAGAAACGGATCAGGGCGCAAGAAGAGAAAGACGTCAAGTCGTCTGCACCCAACGAGCCTTCCTCCACGCCACTACCAAACTACCTTCTAGACAGATCCCAGGAAACTAATGCGAAGTCGCTCTCGAGCGCCATTAAGAATAAACGTGCCGAGAAGGCCGCTCAGTTCGCCGTTCCCTTGCCCAAAGTTAAGGGAATAAGCGAGGAGGAGATGTTCAAGGTCGTCACGACGGGGAAGAAAACATCGAAGAAATCGTGGAAGCGTATGATTACGAAACCTACCTTTGTTGGCGCAGACTTCACGCGGCGCCCCGTCAAGTACGAGCGCTTCATTCGGCCCATGGGCCTGCGTTATAAGAAGGCGAACGTCACGCATCCGAAGCTAGGCGTTACAGTACAGCTTCCGATTATTAGTGTCAAGAAGAACCCCCAGAACCCTATGTACACGCAACTGGGAGTGTTGACCAAGGGAACCATTATCGAAGTCAACGTTAGTGAACTGGGACAAGTTACGGCAAGCGGGAAGGTGCTATGGGGCAAGCTGGCACAGATTACTAATAACTGTGAAAATGATGGATGTGTTAATGCGTGAGTTTCTTCTCTATTTTACATACTCCCCCCCTCCCCGAGTCGTTTGACTGAAGGACCGTGAACTAATTTGGTCGATAGTGTACTTTTGGTGTAATCGGTTTAATTTTTATTTTAATTTTTTCTTAATATATCCCTGAACTTTACCGACATCTTTTGGCTGTTAGCTACGATATTTCTCCTTCTCCATCCTCCCTGCTAAGGGAGCAATGTAAAGCACCAGCTATGGGACTCGGTTCCCGGCGAAAACCAACGTTTTCTTCCGTCGCGTCCAGAAGATGTGATGGAGGATACAGAGACGCATTAAGCCAAACACCTTCAGATACCTCACATCCATTCTATTTGCTTTTTTTGTCTTGCTTCCAAATGGCGTTTGGGCGATATAGACAATACATGGGAACAAAATTATTGCAGGGGTTTGCCTTTTTTATTTTATTTTATTTTTTTCGAGTTACGCACCGCGTTCAGGTATTTTAGACGCGCCTTTGTATGAATGAATTTAATTTTCTATCTTTTTACCTCCTCATTCAAGTTCTGTAGAATCGAGTTAGAGGATAGAGCCTCACTGATTATCGATAATAGCTAGTGGGTGGATCTGAGGGAAAATGGTTCAAATTCTGGGTTTTGGTTATCTCATTAATTTCGTGAGTGATAGCTGCAATCTACATAGTAGATGGGGATCAAAGCAAGAAGCAGGGGAATATGAGACGACGAAATGAAGAGTTATCTTAAGAATATATACACGCCGTGCGACTATACAAAAAAGAAAAAGTGCCAGAAAAACACCCAACCATGTAAAACACAATCTATATTTTTAAAACGCAAAAGGGGGGGGTAGTAGTAGGTAAGTCAACCGAAAGAAAGCCAACACGCCAGCGCAGAGCTACGCCCTATATATTAGTTCAACACGCAAAGTCCCTGACACTCACCCCTCCGTCGACATACGGCATCCAGATATATAAATAAGCCGTCCGTCTCGAACATCGTCTGTGGCCATCTATCTCCTGCTCCCTCCTTTCCACTCTCCCTCTCTCGCCTTCCATTTGACGTCGCCGGCGACGCGAGCCCAGAAAAGCAGATGGCAACGAGCTGGATCTCCGATCACCAACACCGGCACTGGCATTGGTGTTGGTATGGACGCTGGCATTCCGATTCCCCTGGCCCAGGTTCCAGGTTCCTGTTGTTGTTGTTGTTTCCTCTCCTGTTCAGGTTCCGGCTTGCGAACTCACGGGCGCCGTGTAGTTTTGGGATGTCCATGGGTGGTACGTCTATGTTGGTATAGGCGTTATCCGGAAACAAGCCGGTGCTGCCACTGCGGTCCGCGCCTTGGAGGTGACTATCATTATGATGATGACGGTGGTGACCGCGCTTGTAGCAGGGATTACCGTTCTTGCCTCTGGGCCTGCCGCCCAGGTTCGACGGGCGGGGATATTCCTCTGAATACTCGCCGGAGGAGAAGGAATAGATATCTTCTCCTTCATCCATCTGCTCCATCGCTTCGAGCTGCTCCATCGCCTCGAGCTGCTCCATCTCCTCTTCGAGCTCCGGATCGACATCCAACCCCGCCTTGTCCTCGACGATGATATTAATCTCATCGTCCGCCTTGGGGATGGCAGTAGCTGTACTGAGGCCCTTCCCATTCTCCTTCCCATTCTCCTTCCCATTCTCCTTCCCATTACCGTTTCCACCACCACCACCGCCGCCGCCATCACCACCCCTATATCCATCTCCATAACCGTCCGCCACAACCTCGTCCAATCCCCTCTTCGGCGGCACGTTATTCAGCAAACATATCCCCATATCCAACCCTTCAATCGCTCCAGCCAAAAACTCCGCATCTTTACAACTCACGCTAAGCGTCCACCGATATTCACCCAGACGCATTCGATAAAACTCTTCCTCCTCCCTCGTCAGCGCCGTGGCCCGCAGCAGAATGCCAAACGAACTGATTAGCGCGAAGTTTGCCCGGGATGCTGATGGCCAGAATGACCGTAAATTGGCGGGACGCAATCTGTTGACAAAGTCCATGGCGGAAATTAGTCGCGTTTTTGCCGCTGAGCGGCAGATGTGTGATAGATATGGATCTGCGGAGTCCGGGCCTAGAGAGCGGATTATGGTCCTGTGAAGGGTTATTTCGGTGGCGAAGTAGGCGAGGTGTAGGCCGCCGTTGAAGTTTGAGTGGTTTGAGTTGTTTGTAATTGTATTTATAATTGAATCTACACTCATCAGGTCGGCGCTGGGGTAATTGCTGCTGTTAGTGTTTACGGGGTATTGGTGATGGTCCATCCTCAACTCATCTGGTAGAGACGTGAACCACTGTTTTAGACGGATTTGAATAGGTTTTGCCCGCTCGAGGATTATTCGGGTTCGTTGCGGGCCCGCCGCGGAGAATTCAGAGGTGGCTTGGAGGGTGTAGAAGGTATCGAGGATTTCGGAGAGGATGGCAGTTAGAGTGACGAAGTGACTGAAGAAGACGGCACCTGGGCCTGCAGATGAAGAAATATCCAGATCCCTCCTGTCATTAATGTTATCGTTATCGCTACAATTTCTTGAAGAATGCATATCCGTGAAATCGGCCGACGTTAATTCCTCCACGGTCCAGTTCGCTGCGAAGATATGTGATGGGCGGCCGTGGACGAGAGCGCACCATTTATCCTGCACATAGAGGGCCCAGGCCAGCCGCTTGCGCAACCCCCGTTCCCACGAAGTAATTTTCCAGTTACTGCAGTCTTGGTGCAAACCCAGATCGTAGCCGGCAGTCACGAGCTGAGTGATTAGCGTAGGGGTGTTTAGGGTTGATTTCTGGGAGAGGAGCAGACCTGCTTGGACGGTGGAGATGTGCGGTCGCACGAGAGATTCGTTAAGTAATCGTGTAGCCATCAACTCCAGACGAGTAGCATCCGGTTTTCGTAGCGTCTGCATGCCGGGTCCTGACCCTGGTCGGACGCTCGCATCCTCCGTCCCTTGATCCAGCCATTTCAAGGAGATAAAGTACACGGCTGCCAGCAGCACGGGCGACAAATTCCGCCTCGTCTGATACGAATGACGGAAGGCGTCTTCCATTATCACAGGAAATGGCGGGTTGGCATGTTGGAAGAAATTATCGATGAGGATGGGCCCAAAGGGGTTAACCGCGTTCTCAATGGTTTCGATGGATATGGCGTGAAGCTCATGCCGGGCATGAAAGCCGTCAATCACTCGCATGAAGGTTCCGTCATCGGCGCATTTGCGCACGCGGGATGTGGCCAAGGGGCTTTCGTTGTTGTGGTCGAGAGTTAGAAAGTCTAGTAGGAGTGGCTCAAGCTCTGTTGTCATGCCGATATGTTGGCTGGTCGCAAATGAGGCTTCAAGAGGGGAGTCTGGAGCCACCCCTATGTACGGTTTTTCAGTAGCGGGCCTATAATAGTATAGTATATTTAGAAGAAGTTTTAAAGATATTAGAAAACAAAGATAACGAGAGCCTTTCACCGGTCCCATATCAAAGGGATGCAAAAAGAAAAATGCAATATAGCCCAACCGAAGGCACGCACCGCTTAACACACTCATCCTCCTCAGCATCAGTGCCAGGTCCCACGCCAAGTTCGTCCTGAAACTTCCTCTTGCCCAGTTGACTCTGTGCCTGTACCTGCTGCGCCTGCACGCGATAATTAAACGTACAATCCTGCCGATGGAAATCGCACGAGTAGCACTTTTTGATCGACTCGTTCATGGCACATCTGCTCTTGCGCCTATAACAGGCGTCACAGATGGGTCTGGGAGAGAGGCCTGTGGGACTCCCCGCAGTTTTCGGTGCTGCTGATGTCGTTGTTGCGGTTGTGGTGGAAGTATTAGCGATTGTGGTTGTGGTGGTTGTTGTTGTTGTCGTTGATGTTGATGTTCTTGTCGCAATAGGGGCAACAGCTCCCGCGGCTACAAGGTAGCCGTTAGGAGCGGGATTGCTCATTGTGATGAATTGTTTGCTATGTGTTTTGTGGTGCATGCTATCCGGGCGGGGTGAGGAATGTAGTTGGCGGGATAGGTGGAGCGGGGGAATGATACCACTACCCCCCAAAGCACAGCGGGCGGAGGTGATAATGATGGCAGGCGAGAAACTGATAAGTTATTATTTATTGATATATTAATTCTATTAGAGCTAGCCGGAGCAGCAACCGTAGCACAGCACAGCAGGAGTGTGGAGGGGGTTGTAGTCAGAGCGGAATTCGAGGCTAGACCGGGGCGAGTTGCGGGCGGGGAGTTGGGGATGGTTTGGTCGCAGCAGCTGTAGCCATTCTCTTTCGCTCTCAATTCCAAATAACAAGGAAAGGGAGAAAGGAACCGATTGGCATCAACGGGGGGCGGAGTAGATAGTTATATCTGTCTTCTCCCCTTCTGCGTTATGTTTTTTTTTTTTTTTTTTTTTTTTTTTTTTTTTTTTTTTTGGTATTTTAATTCCTACCTACCTACCGGCGCCAGGTAACTAGCTATAACCTCTAACTACTAGTTAACTAGCTAGTTAGCTGTAGTTGAATTGATAAATAATATTGACGGGGCATTCTTGAGATGGGGACGGACGGTAAAGAGGGTATCCGAGGGTTGAGCGAACCTAACTCAGCTCGAAGCGGGAATCTAGACAATCAATTGCCACATATACCAGCTGGCTCATGGCGAGGATGGCGAGGATGGCGAGGATGACGAGGATGACGAGGATGATGAGGATGACGATGGGTGGTGGAGTTGCAGCGTGTGTGGAGATGTGGAGATTGGGATATGATATTGGGGATAAATTTCGAAACGGACAGGCAAAAAATAAATAAATGTAGTAAATAACTTAACTAATAGTTCTAAAACACAGCAACAAATAAATAAATAATAAATCAAAAACCCTCTCTCTCACTCTCTCACTCTCTACTACGGAGTACTTGGTTCCTTTGTTTAAGTTTAGTAGGTAGAACTACTGCGTATAGGAAGGGAAATTCTTCAATGGCTATACATAACACAACACGCCTATGGGGATTTCCCAAAAAAAAAAAAAAAAAAAGGAACTTTTGTGTTTGAAATTTATCTGGGGATCGATCAGCTCCCGCGCCGTTATAAAAGTAAAAATAATACATATGTAGTGTATATAGTTACTTGTTTCACTTCCACTGAACCCTATATATATCTATATATCCCTTGAAGAAGAAAAAGTTAAGAAAAATTCCAACCATATTGAATATTAGTAACTAGGAGGGCTAGGTAGTTTTCAAGACGTAACAGATATTCAAGATTCGAGAGCTTATTTTATTTGATATTATTTGAGTTGAACCCCAATATTTATGCCCGGGGTAACTTACGCAGCGGCATTCCATATATTATTATTATTATATTATTATTGTATGGTAGTTTGTTCGTTCATCAGAAACGCAGACTCTCTCTCCCCTCTAGACTTCTCTCTCTCTCTCTATATATATATATTCTCCCCGCCATCCTCACTGCTCTCCTCTCTCCTCTCCCCTCTCTCCTCTCCCCTCTCTCCTCTCCTCTCCTCTCCTCTCCATTTATCTAGAGATAAGCATCTCCCCGTCCATTGGCTGCGGAAACACGCGCCAGCCAGCGCCAGCGCCCAGAAACTTTCCCTGTGTTCCATCCCGACCGTTGCAACTCGGCTAGTCTGCTTTGGGGCCTCCTATTACGTAGTTACAAGCGTCCAGGATTGGGAATGGCAGCTGGGGCTGGGGCACAGCGCGGTGGCTGAACAGCTATGTGCTGCTCTTTTGTGAAGATATTTCAGGTCCCACTTCCAGCATTATTATTCTAGATGAATAAGGGTGATTGGAGTGAGCCTTGCCGGTGGCGTCGAGATATAAAGTATAAGTACGGAGTGAGTATAATAACTACTATGATGCAAGGCATGGGATGGGGACTGTACAAACTCGGTCTTCTGCAAATTCTGACTCTTGACTCTGACCCTAGTAGGGGATATAGAACATAAAGCTACGTATGTAGGTTAGAGCTGTAGAGATTACTATATATACTAAGTAGAAAATAAGGTAAATATATAATATATAATAAATACACGGCATGAAAATTTGGGAGACAGGAACGGAAGGAACCGGATGAGCATCAGACCAATATGTATAAAAAAAAATAAAAAAAAAAAAAAAAAAAAAAAAAAAAAAAAAAAAAAAAAAAGGGGGGATGGAAGTCGTGTTGATAGCTTTTCTTCTCTAGGCATATATAGCCCATTTTTTATTCTTTTTTCTCCCTTCCCAACGCTTCCTCCCCCTTTCTTCCCTCACTCTATCCAAAAACAAAACCAAAAAAAAAAAAAAAAAAAAAAAAAAAAAAAAAAAAAAAAAAAAAAGGTTGCAAAGAAAATATTCCTTAGACTTTGTACTTAGGCTTGCACTGCTTCTTCTTCTTCTCCTTCTGGGTAATATCCTTAAACATCTTCCATTCGCCAAGAATCGGGAAGTGATCCCGCTCCTTCTCATCACCCGTCAAGGGCGTAACATCACGCTCCGCAATCGTAATCTCCAGCCCGCGGGAGTGGCCCGTGGAGCTCCCGATAAGCTCACCAGCATCCACAACCTTGCCCGTCAGATCCTGCACGCGCCACTCAAGGTGCTTCTCCAGCAGCGGCAGAATCGTCGTGTCCTCCAGGTCGAGGATCATCTTGCTGTCCCACACCACAGCCAGCACATGCGAGAGAGGGATCTGTCCGTACATGTCGCGAGTTCTGTTGGCTGGGGAGCCCATGGAGGAGGCGAAGGAGGCGAAGGTGCCGATCAGGTTAGGGGCAGAGGCCCAGTCGCAGGACTCTTCGGGGGGCTCCGAGAGGAAGAAGTGGATGTTGTATGCGTGGGGGAGTGCGAACTTGTTCGCTCGGATGTTGATAACCCACTGCTTCTCCAGGTTGTTGATGCCCAGCTTGATGAAGTTGAGCAAGCTGAATTTGCCTAGGTCTTCGAAGAATTCCTTAACCTTGAAGTTGAGTTTCTTGAGGTCGTCCAGGGTGTCCTCGGCGAGGTTGGGCATGCGCTTGTGCATGATCATGCCGTGGTGGTGCGCAGCGCGCGCGGTGAGAGCGGTGCTGCGCTTTCTGTTGTTGTCGCCTGGTCTGTTGTACAGTCGGTTGATTTCCATGCGGACGTTCCTGGACAGCTGCTCTGGGGTAACGCCCCAGTCCCTAATCTCGGGATAGGTGTAGCCGAAGGGTCTCATGCTTCGAGAGGTTTCGGCATTGTAGAATCGGTTGTTGGGGTCGCGGAAGGGCGCAAATGCTGAAAATGAAGGTTAGTATTTTTCTCGTTTCTCTCTCTCTTTTTTTTTCTTTTGGCTACACTGGAAAATTCCAGAGGAGAAGAGGTGCACGTACGAGTTTTTGCATCTTCCCAGGTTCCCGGTCTCTTCATGAAATCTCCGCCACGGTTTGGCAGAGGCTGTACGTATGATTCAGGGTGGACAGCTTGCCACAGAGCGACGACGCGGTCGACGTTGCTGTAACATCAATTAGCACGCTGCCTGTAAGAGGGAGGACGAGACTTTTTTTTTTCACTAACGTATGGTGGAGCCAGAAGATCGGGTCATAGGCGGACCAGGGGGTGTACGTCATATGTCCACCATTGCCTCCAACAGAATTGTGAATGAGACCGTGAATGTTCTCCAGGTTGTTGAAACTTCCGTGGCGGTCCGGGAGAGCATCAGTGGAGAACACGGTGTAGTTGGTTTCGCCAGCAAGAAGTTGATAGGTGTTGATTCGAATGCTAAAGTTTGACTGTTAGGCGGCATTACTCAAATCGCTCTGTTACTTAAATTTTTTGACTTACAGGGCACCGTTCGCATTCAGAGTTCTCTGGATCGCCTCGACCTGGGATACACCCTGCTCGTCGGGGTTGCGGACGGTTCTGTGGTATCTCGAAAGCTGAAGAGCTGGGTGTCAGTGAAAAGTACTCATATACCGGCCGCCAGTTCAAAACGAGGAATCTACTAACAGAGTCAATGGGGAAGCCTTCTTGAGCCGATGGATTGATAGCGTAGTCGTAAAGTGGGTTCCGAACAGTCCTCAATCCTTCCGGGGTATTGATGTTAAGCTCCGGGGTGATCACAGAGCGGGGAAGCTCCGGATCGCTGGCCCAGTCCCAATATGGAATTCTCAAATCACTTGCAGCTTTTTGATAAATTCCTCGGATGATTGGCGGGTACGTGTTGGCAATCGCGTGGGCATAGCGCGAGATTCTCTCCTACCGATTGGTAACGCGTGTTAGAATTTTTGGTCTATGCAGAGGATACTTAATACCGAACAAATAACGAAACTAAAACTTCACTAACCTCATACATGGCAAGGTAAGGACGATGCCATACGGGGAACAGAGTCGAACCGTGAGAGCAATAACCAGCACCCCCCAAACCCTCCACGCCATCCCAGGATTTATAAGGGTAACCATGAATACCTAAATTCTAAATGTTAGATATATGCACAACTAATACATGCGTCCTTGAGTCCTTGGGGCGCATCTCTTACCAGCGACCTGATGATAGCTCAAAAGATGACTCCGGTCCTCTTCCTGGTAAGCCTTGAGGGCCTGGATGTAGAGATCCCACTCTGGGCCAGACCACTGCAGCCTGTTGATGTCCTTGCGAGCGGGTCGTTCACCGGTATGGTGATTGACGCCACCCCTCGCGCCTGAAATAGTGACAGCCGAAGCAACGCCCAGCAGCACATTCAGCAGGAGGAGCACTTTCCATCGATAGGGCCCCATGATTATGATAGCCCGAAATAATATTAAACAAAAAGAGTGTATAGGGGTGTTATTTTATATCCCCTTTCAACTGTAGCATATGAGATACGGGTGGTGTGGTAGAGACTGGATAGAAGGAGGGAAGGGTTGAAGAAACCGTTTGAAGTCCGTTCAGGGAATCATCGAGCCCGAAGTGTCACACGGTTGTTCTGGAACCTGGCTGGCGTGATGCTTCTTTTAAGTTTTCCTTTTTTTTTTCCCCTTCAGCGAGTAAAGTCCAGAGAAATCCTCAAACGATATATGACAAAAAAAGGAGCGAACGGAGGGAGTAAAAGAGAGTAATCCTCGCGGAGAGGGAAGAAGGAGGAGGTTATGGAGAAGAAGAGGATGAGGATTATGAGGGTGAGAAAGGAGGAGAAACGAGAGAGATGGAAGGTGCGCGACGTGGAAGCATGAGGGAGTCGTCGAACGAATACGGCAAATAAATAATACGGGGTTTTGCTTTTGGGGCAACGCTTTTCGGGCTGCTCTCGGGCTCGTTCTTTTTCTCCTTGGGTTGAAGTGTATGCGGACGGACCGCTGGCTGTTGCAAACAAAGCTAGCTGCCGCTAAGGCTGGCTAGTCAGGGGACAAGCCTCCACTTAGACCGCCATCGTCGGGCCCTTGCTGGGTCCTTTGGCTCGTTGGCCTGGACTCAGGCCGGGTCTGAAAAAGGCAAAGAAATCCTAAGCGGCGGACCTGATTGGGCTACATCTGAAGCGCGCAGTAGGTTGGATCCGTGCAGACTCGGCTGTCGATCAACTGCTGGGATTCTGGCCATGGAAGAGGGGAGGAGGAGGGTTCCATTCTTACACTTACACCCCCCCTGATACCATACCGTCCTTCCTTGACGATACCAGGCATAATTCTGCGCCCACAACCACTTTTGTGCAGTCGTTCAGATGGATACACACACAACCATCGACCTTTCCATCCGCCTATCTATCTCCAAGTCAGCTCGACCGAACAGCCAATTACTCGCAGCAAAGTTTGATGGAGTGATTGTCACATGACCCACATACTCAAACAAGCATCGTGATGGACATCTATCTGGACGGAGGATTTCGTGATTATCGCTGATAATGCTGCTGATCCGATCCGGACTGGGCGGTGTGCCTAGAATCGTCCCGAGTTCCATCTCATCGGTTGGACAGAATCTTTTCGTAAAAAGAGGAAACGGCTGAAGCTTGTTTTTCGTAAGATACTCAACCACCAGCATGGAGCATGCAAGCCAGGCGCCGCCTGGCGTCAGAGAAGCGATTTATGGAGCACCTATCATAGTA